TGGTCTTTGGGGTTTTATGTCTCACCCAGAGTCTCATCTTTATTTCCCCAGTATTTTGGATTTCGAAGGCTGATGTAGCCCAAAGGCTGGCCTGGGACTATGTGGGTCTGGCTTTCCCTAAAGTATCCTTCCCAGAGTGTAGAAAGGACCTGATGGGTTGAGGACTAGCTGAGTCCCTTCTGGAATTGTGACTTCTCAGGGCCCAAAGTGTGAGCAGCTGTGCCTCTGTCTCTAGCTTCAGGGTATGCTGGAAATCGAGGACCAATTTTTAACAAACCCTCTGGGTTGTCTGATGGGAAAGACTGAACAGAGGAGTGATCTTTGGAGCTGAGCCCTCAGAGATGTTCTCTGGCGGAGGCTGGTCCTGCCTCCCAGGGCATGTTGCACGGTGGACTCTGGATTCTGGAGAGGCAGGCCCATGGGGTCTGGGGCCACGGTGTTTGGAGCCTTCAGCAGGGATGTCAGGATGATAAAGGGGCTAAGGACTATGCTTGACTGCAGCGTGCTCTTGACACCCAGTTCCCTAGATCCTCCTCGGCAGGGGTTATATTTCTCCTGCTCATATTTCTGGAGCAAATCCTCACTGGAGCAAGTCGTTCATGTGCTCCCCAAAAGGGACCTTGGAAGAAATGCCAGGTGTTCTATTTCCATCGAAAGCTCCGTGGAGCAGAGTTCTCTGACACACATGGGGTCCCAATGAGTTAGGGTGGCTGTGAGTTGGGCTGAGCTTCTTGTCACCTCTGGCAGTGGTCCATGTTTCCCGAGGGGGTTCCTCCTACCCCCTCAGGCCGATGCTTTGGAGAAAGACTAAAAGCACCACCAGACTCAGAGGCTCAGGCTCGGAGCCTGGCGGGCAGTGTGGGGTGGGGTCAGGCGGGGCAGGGGAGAGAGGATGCACATGAACGAGGATAACTTCAAGACAGAGGTGGAACCTTTCCTAGTCCCATGACGGCCTCTGCAGGCCGAGAGAAAACACGCTGGTCATCTTAGGGAGGAACTGTAAGCAGCGGGGCCCTGCTGTCGTTCTGCTGAAAATCAGGCCCACATTCCGGCTCACAGCCATGTGGACGGAAGCCTCAGAGCTGACAATGTCAGCCTTGTCTCCTCACGAATGGCCGAGAACCCACTCTAATTGTATTGTTTTCCCTTCGGATGGCTCTCACGACGGACTGATGTGTGTCAAGCTTTAGGATAAGAGCAGCGTTGATTACTGGCTGAGCCCGGCAGAGCCACTGCATCCAGCCAATTAAAAGAAGCATGGGAATGCGTCTTTGAGCTGGACCCCCGTGAGAGGAGCTGGGAAAGCTAGCCGTTGCTGATCAAGCAGTTGACTACGCTGAATTCCCAGGGACTGTGACTGGTGCACACTTGGCTCCCAAAGACCTCAGGATGGTTATTCATTTCTGGGGCTAGGGCACAAAAACTTCCTCATGAAGGGGACAGCTCCCTTCCCCCATGGGAAAAAGTTCATTACCCCGTTCCCGTAAGATGGAACTTAGTAGATGCAGGAAGTTCAACCTAAATGGAAGTGGGTGGGGTCAATGGTCCCCAAAAGGTCCCGACAAGTCTCACAGTAAAGAAAGTGATCTAATATTGTGTAACATCCCCCAGACTAAAGGGATGTTCCCCTCACAGATTCGATGCCTCAGGCATTGGGGAGAGCTCTCTGGCAGGACTGCACTGTCGGAAGCCCTGGTCTCGTGATACCTGTTAAAGTCCCAATGAGCAGAGACACAGACGGAAGTATGTCAAGACAGGACAGAGTGACTGTTTTTAGCGGTTGAATGGCTTGCTGACGAGTTGGAAGGTTCTCGAAGCACACTGTGCACTTGAGCCCTTCAGGCCGAGGCTCAGGAACAGTGGGGGTGATTCCCATCACGGGATTGACGGGCGCCGCCTTCGGTCATTGTCAGCGGCCCGCATAAGCATGCCTGCTGCCGGCCTGGTCCGGTGCGTCAACAGAATTCCCAGGAGGATGCCCTTAACTCTCTTTGATCATTATTGCGATCCTATTCCTCCTTTTAAAACTTTTTTTTTCATTTCACAGGTTTATATTTTTAGAGCTGACCGAAGATCAGGCACCTTAATTAAGATTTTTCAGGCATCAGGTAAAAAGGTGAGATCCTTGGTGTCTGTGATGCTTTTCTGTTTGAGAGATGTGACCAGGTGGGAGTCGGTTTGTGATCTTGTAGGAAACTCATTTACAGGTCCTTCTGGCACCTTCTGTGGCTGTCGGTCCTTCGCGACTTTCTGCTCTCAGCAGTGAGTGCCATCTGCAGATCCTGGCATGCACGCATGCTGGTGTGAGGAAACCTCACGTAGTCAGATGGGTTGGACATGGCCAGGTTACAGCACGGTTTCAAAGGTTGCCCATCTTTCAGACAGTGATCAGAACGACTGTCTGCTCTCGCTGTCTGCCTTGGTCTCACAGCATCCGCTCACTCGCGTGTGCCTCGCTCATACACATACACACCCCTACCTCCAGGGAGCGCGCACAAACCAATTCCTGGGGATGGTGACTTTCAAAGGGGGTGTACGGCTAAGTGGTTCTCCCTGTCCGTCTCACCAGCCCAGTGCCACCCTCTCCTCTCCTCTCCCCGGCCCTCCGGTTGCTGTGGCCATGGAGAAGGTTGTCAGAGACCAAGCACACACTCACCCAGTTCATCTCCATACTTCACAACAGTTGTTTCCCCAGGGAGGCTGCCCCGAAATGGGCCTGGGCGAGGCTTCATCTGCCTGGATCGTCCCAGCCTCTCCCTCATTCTCTCCATTTCCCGCCGCTTCCATGAGCTGCGCCCTAGTTGCTGCTCAGGTTAAGTCAGTTAAGAGTTTCTTGCCAGGAGCAAGCAGCATGTTTCCTGGGATTCCGGGCCACGGGCACCAGAGTGTGGCACTGTGGGCTTGTCCACACTTCCCCAAGAGGGCTTTATGCCGTCACGTTCGGGGACAGAGGAGCTTGAACGTCGGCTTGGATTGCCTTAAGGTGACGAGGAGTGTCTGGGGCTCCCCCAGGAGCGGACAGAAGGACCCAGGTGTCTGCGCTCCCAGATCTAGGGTGGTGCTGCCTTTTCCCCTTCTTGAGGATGCTGCAAGCCCCCTCCCTGGCACCACTCTATGGCCGCCTCTCCGTCCCGGCCTTCCCTCCTGGTCCTCCTGCCTCTGCTTCAGTCTCTGCGAGCGTGGCCCCGTCACTGTCTTTCAGGCTGGAATGGAGGCCGCTCTCTCCTACCGTGCGTCGCATCCCACTTTTTGCCAGAAGAAACAAAAAACTGCTTTGCCATTGGTCTCTCTTGTCTGACTTCTCTATTGTCTTCCTAGGAAAGGTGATGACCCCAGGCTGTCCAAGGATGGCTTTAGCTCTCCCCCTCAGTCTGGAGCCCTGTGTCTAGAGGAAGGTTCTTACTTAGCCAACCACTGGTTCGCTTCTGTTCTTTAAAAATGCTTTTTTTGCTAGAATCTGATCAGAGAGTTGTAGCTTTTACTGTCAGGACAAAAAGAAAAAAACAAGGGACCAATGCTGGTCTCCTTGGTCACTATGCATCCTATAGAAAGTCCCATGAGCGTGCAGTTTGGAGGTTAACACAGACACGGCAGCCCGCCACACTCGTAGGCTGATGGGAGGCTCTGCTCGGGGAACACGCACCCCAAAGCGGTCCTTGCCAACACTGAAGTTGTGTTGAATTCACTGAGCTATGTGAAGCGCTTGCCCATCAGACCTTAGGAAGCTTCTTGAGCAGGGATTTCTGACATAACCTTAAGGAAGCCGCCAAGTTAAATAGCCACTGGAAGGAAACAAATTGTTCCCCTGAGGCCCAGCCCGAGAGCCCTGCCTGTGGCTTTGCTCTTAGGGACCTTATTTACATGCACCATTTTTTCCCCTTTTCTAAAGCACCCAGGATGGGGACGTTGGCAAAGCCACTGATCTAGTGACTGGCAACTTGATATTTGTCCTGCCCCGGCCCCTCCTGCAGGAATGACCGACACCTTCCCCATGCCCTTCTGCCTTGCGAAGCAGGGTGGTGGTAAGGGTAGAGGGGGTGGCTGGAGGGGAGACGGCCTTGGCATGTGACTGGGGAAGGGTTTCTGGGCAGCACTTCCAAGTCCTCCGCCCCAGGGTTTGCTTCAGGAAGTGAGCTGGCGTGTCCTCCACCTCTGCAACTCCGCAGCGGGAGGAAATGCTAGTGCGCGCAAATCTAACCACAGACAGCCCTTGGACTCAAAAGCCATTCTTTTAAGCGATGTTTGCTTATTACTATTGTTTTTTAAAGCTTTCATTTGAATTTTTCAAACCGGTTTTATTGACGCTTCAGCCACCTATCACACGGTTCAGTCATTCAGTCTCATCTAGAAGAGTTATACAACGGTCACCGCACCATCAATTTGAGACATTTTCTTCTTCCTGGTACTCAGGGAATTTATTAGTTAGGAGTGTAATGATTCTTACTAAGTGATTTTTTTCACTTGTGACACAAATATACATAGCAAAACATTCTCCTTCGACACGTTTCATTCTTTGGGTTCAGGCCACCATTATTGATTTCTTCTTCCAAATCATTCCACCACCATTAACATAGCATTATGTTTTCATGTGGATAAGTGACCAACCTTGAAAACAAATAAGCAATTCAAGTACAGTTCTGGAGGTCTGACGTCTCTGAAATGTGGGAAGGGGACCCGCTCTGGGTCAGCTTTCCGCAGGGTGACCTTGGCTGCGGCGAAGTAGAAGCTGGTCCCTTCGCAGGACCTGTGAGCTCTGCTTTGCTGTGGAGCCACTACTCCCTACTGCTGTATGGACCCGCGGTTGAGCATCACGTGCCACCTGTTAGCACACTTAAACTGTTCCTCATTTCCTCTCCCACCTGGTATGTCTCCTGCCTGAATCGCATAGATTATTGTGTTTGAGACCCCCTGATTTCAAATCATGCACACTGCATTACATACTGATGATGGACCAGTAAGATTTATGTGGGTATTATATTAAAGGTGATTAAAGATCATCAACCTGCTCTGATCCCTCAGCTGTGGAAGAGTGTTGTGGCTTGTACCTGCCTTGGTCATTCCAGCTTAACCAGCCTCAAGTTTCCACAGGAGCAGGAGAGGCTAACCTATCTCCCATAGTCATGTTGGCTTGCGTGCCTGGCTTGCCTTGTGACATCTCTGATTCCATCTTGCTTGACTTTATGGAATGCCTGATACTCCAGGCACTTGTATTAATTACGGCTACAGCCCACATTTGCAACTCTAGCTTGCATTTTTAGAAGCAGCGCCTCTTTCTTGGGGATCTTGTCTTCTCCTAGGCAGGGCTCCAGGGAAGGGGACCCAGAGCCAGTGAGCTCTGGGACCCTGTAGTTGGGGCTCAGCACTGCTGCCAGAGTTGGGGAGGGAAGTTGGGGCTTTCACGGTAGGCCTGGGCGTCTTGGCTTCTGGGCATGAGGCAAGTGTTTCTAAGGCCAGCGGCCAGAGGAGAGCAGGGCCTCCGTGTGAGAGGGCAGACACTGAACGCTTTGTCGCGATTTGGCTTGGTTGCAGATGGGCTCTTACTTCGGCTCCTCCTTATGCGCAGTGGACCTCAACGCTGATGGCCTCTCCGACCTGCTGGTGGGGGCCCCCATGTTTTCTGAGATCAGGGACGAGGGGCAGGTCACCACCTACATCAACAGAGGAAACGTGAGTAGCGTGGCGGGCAGGGTGGAGGCGCAGAGTGGGAGGGCGCCGGGGCTGCTATTCGGGAGGCCACGAGACACATCTTCAAGAAGTGCAAAGCTCCCTGAGCAGAACGTTCCGAGCAGTGTTGCAGATGCATTGCCCCAGGGGTCGGGAAGAGTCTTCGTGCGTGCCACCTGCATGCCGTGTGCGTGCACCGGGGGCTGCTCCTCTTGCTTCCTGTGAACGATTTCAGTGTACTGTGCACCTGGTAGGAGGAGCCCCCATTTTTCAGGTGAAAAACTGAAGCCCCGGAATGAAATACCCAAACCACACAGCTAGGAAGTAGTAGTGGGGCTGGGATTTGAACCCTGGCGGGCTGGTTTGGGAGCCCGCACTCTTATGCCACCTTTCTAGGAATGCCCCTCTGCCCAGGGAGGGAAGCAGAGCTGTTTCTTCAGAGAACACACCGGCTGGGAGGACCCTGCCAGAGGACGAGGCATTAGAGGCAGGCGGGAGGCCAGTTATAAGCATCTGGAAGCACATGTGCACTGTTAGTTACTTTTCCTCCTTCCCGCTATGCACTCCCTTTGCCTGGATCCATGCATTCCTGGGTTTGAGATTCTGGTGCGGGGAGGAGTCCTGGTGGCACAGTGGTTACAGTTGGGCTGTGATCTTCAAGGTCAGCAGTTCGAAAGCACCAGCTGGTCCGCAGGAGAAAGACGGGGCTTTCGACTCCTGTAAAGAGTTAGTCTTCGAAATGCACAGGGGCAGTTCTACCTGGTCCTGTAGGGTCGCTATGAGTCTACACCAGCTTTCTGGCAGTGAAAGGGTTGAGGGGTGCTGGTGTGCAGGCTGCAGTGTGACTGCCCAGCATGGAGGGGCTTCGGGCTGGGTGGAGACTGCTGAAGGAGCCAGGGCTGTAATCCCGATAGTCCTCATGCGGTGGGCCCAGACCGTAAGAGGCAGACTTATGAGCAGGATGTGAGGAGACCAGGGGAGGTGAGGCGGGGTGGGCCGGAGAGCTGCCCACCCTCAGAGGGCAGAGGGGGTGGAGCAGGGAGAAAGCAGAAACTGTGCAGGGACAAGAAGTCAGAGTGCTCCATAAAGGGGGACATGGTGCAAAGGGTCCTGGCCCCACCAGACTTCTAGCTAACACCAGATGGTGCTCACGAGGTCATCAGTAGGGAGAGTGAGCATGATCCCAACTTATCGCAGCTCCATGCGACACAGCAGCACTGCCCCACCACATTAATAGAAGGCCGATGCATGTATTTGTGTTGTGGAAAGGGGACTTCAAGAACCCATGAGATCTTTACATCCTTATTGGTTTTAGATTTCAAGTTGTTGATGTTCCAGCAAAAACGCAAGAGTTGGTCATGACAAAAGTCAAGACTCTGCTGGGATGGTTTGTGGGTGACTGGTGGATCCAGAGAGCCTCTACTCTGGGTAGGCCCTACCTCTAGGCCCTGAAGCCTTCCTTTGGTCACCTGCTGTGACAGTCACATGTGAATGACTGGAGAGTAGGCTGGGGATGCTCTGGCGGCTTCACTGCCAACCACGCACCAGGGGGGTTCATGTGACAGCAGGCACAGTTATGTACAGGGTCCCCAGCCCCAGCTAAGAACTTGTGGGTGTTTGAGATTTCTGAACCTTGACTCCCTCTCTCAAGATTATTAAGACATCAGACCCACGATGTTGAGCTGAGTCTGACTTACAGCAGTCCTGCCAAACACCTTTATAAACTTGAACCCAAGACAAGGGAAGACAAACAAACTAACAAACAAACAAAACCACGTATGCCTTTTCCAAACAACTTTTGGAAGGAATGCTGAGCTGCCCCTGCGGACAGGCTGGTTGGTGTCTGGCCCATGTGGCTCTGATCCTCCCGGCTAAAGCACATTGTAGCGTTTTGGCGGCTCTGGTTCTGGCTCTCCTTGTGCACCAGGAGAGAGAAGTTTGGCCCTGTGGTTCGGCCCAGGTGTTTCCTTGTCAATGTGTGTGTGCTGGGAGGGCGGTGCTCTGAACCCTGGCTTGTTAAAATTGTGCTTTTGGTTTGTTCTGCTTTTATTTTATTTTCTGTTTCCCCTTCATCCTGTTTCCCAGGGCGCCCTTGAGGAGCAGCCGGCCCTGACCGGGGATGGAGCCTACAACGCACACTTTGGCGAGAGCATTGCCAGCCTGGGCGACCTCGATGACGACGGGTTCCCAGGTCAGTGGGCACAGGGCACTGCCTCGCTGACCTCTCACCACACACCCCAGACCATGCGCCTGGCTCAGCCCGCATGCATCAGCCCCATCAGCATGATGGTGGGGTGGGGGGTACTCTCAGAGAAGTAGTTCTCCATCGGGACCCTTAGGGCTTCAGTCTGAGCTTTCCTGAGTTGTGCTTCTGAGTCATCATCCCTTCTGGTCGGTGTACCACTCTTTGCTGCGTGTTCGGGGTGGACGTGGAGGTTGGGAAGGGTCCACTGGAGGTGACTAGCAGAGAGACTCAAACCAGCTTCCTCTCTCCACAGAGTCTTCTGCTTTTGAGCCTTTGTCCCTCCACCCTCCACCACCATGTGTTAGTGAAATGAGTGAGGGGTGCATTATACTTTATCTCCCTTCCTAATGAGAAGTTGCTGGGCTGACTTTTGAAGCAGGGTGTGTATGTGTGTCTGTCCATCTGTGGAAAGCAGTATCCTTTACAGCCTCTCTGGCCCGCCCTCTGGCCTTCCATGACACCACCTCTCATGGTGTGAGCCATGCACAGACGTGGGCACCAATGTTGGGAAGGACTGAGGCGGGAGTCAGGGAGGCAGCTCTTGCCTCAGACAGGTCTTCTGGCTCTTTTGTCCCCTCCAACCCTGGGCTGAGAGAGCTTCTTTCAGAGAGTAAAGACCCCCCCATCTCCCCATCAACCTCACTTCTGCAAACACATGACAAAGGGGGAAGAAAAAGAGGGGCATTAGGATGCTGGAAGCTTTGTTCTAGAAGTTGTTGGCTTGTGAGAGTGACTTTTTTTTTTGATGATGAATTGAATGCCATTCTGGAAATTTCCTTGATCCAGGAATTGATTTGACTTCCTCAGTCATTTAAAAACCATCATTTATGGACTTTACCATTTGGACAAGACAGATATGAGTGTGGGTTTTATGTTTGCAACTCATTTGTTGGTTGAGTCATTGATTTTACCTATGGGGAAGAGAGGAACTTTTCTGCAAGTACACTCTTCCTACCTCTCTGAGTTTCTTTCTGCTATCATGCTGTCGCTAAGGAGCCTTTTGGGCACCATCCGGTAAGCATTGGATTCGAACTGCCAGGCCAACAGTGCAAACACATCAGCCATTCGAAGGGAGAAAGATGAGGCTCTCTGCCCCCGGAAGATATACGGCCTTAAAAACCCCGAGTAAGGTTGCTGTGAGTTGGAATTGACCTGATGGCCGTGGATTTCAAGTGGCTCCCCATTACCTAGTGATGCCGTAAATACAAAAGGGTGGCTTTAAAAAAATCATTTTACTGGGGGCTCATACAACTCTTATCACAATCCATGCATACAACAATTGTATGAAGTACATTTGTACATTCGTTACCCTCATCATTCCCAAAACATTTGCTCCCCACGTAAGCCCCTGGCATCAGCTCCTCATTTTCCCCCTTCCCTCCCCGCTCCCCTCTCCCTCATGAACCCTCGATAATTTATGAATTATTATTTTAAAAGGGTGGCTTTAACAAACAGAATGGACTTTTATCCCATCACTGCTAGAAGTCTGAACTCAGGGTGTCAGCTCTCGTGGGAAGCTTTCCCTCGCTGTTGGCTCACAGATTAGGAGGAAGGCCCTGTTCTCCTTTTAGCATTTGTGGCCCTTGGAGATTTCCACATGTCTCCGCATTAGTCTTCTCCTGGGTCTAGAAGGTTCTCAGCAGAGGGACCCCAGGCCCGAAGGGCACTCTGTTCCCAGCTCTTCTTTCCTGGTGGAACTGAGGTCCCTTTGTCTCTGCTCAATTCTATGTCTTCCCTCTCTTGTAAGAGGAGAGGTGATGCCAGCCGCATCCCAGAGAAACTCCACCAAGATCAGATGGGGACAGTGACCTGAGAAAGAGGACTGCAGCCCAACGGAATCCTCTTACCACCGAGGGGCCGATCCCACCGGATCTCATGGTGGGGCATGATTGCATCACCACATGACTGCCAAACCACCCAGACAGACTCATGACCCAGCCGTTGGCACATATTTTTATTTTGGGGTGAGGGGGAGGGGAGAGATACAGTTCTCTCTATGACAGAGACCATGTGCCTAATTTAATGACTGAATAATCAACCAAGAAATTTCTGATGTCAAGGGGCTTAGGCATGACAACAGGAATTGGGAAACTGCCTCTATATTGTATTATTCTTCATGGCTCTACTCAACGTAGCTATTTTTCTCCTTTCAGATGTGGCCATTGGTGCACCCAAGGAGGATGACTTTGCGGGGGCCGTGTACATCTATCATGGCGATGCCAGTGGGGTCATCCCTCACTACTCCATGGTAATTGGTGTGAGAGTGATGTGCAAACTGTCCATCCATTCGTCCATCTGTTAGTTTGTTCATTCATTCATTCAGCACGTAACAAACCTTTGCTATGAGCAAGATGTTAAAAGTACATAGAATTCTCACGAGTCCTTTCTTAGACTTCCCCCACTCTAGTGACGGGGTAGAAAGCGTTGATACTGTTTATTAAATATGGAGGCACAGCCAGAAGATTCTTAGGTTTTCTCATGTTTAGGGACTGTGGAGCCTTGCTGTCTGCGTATACATTGCGATGTCCAAATTTCTGCCACGGGAGTAGAGCTATTTATTTAAGAAGAGGAGGCTCTCTTTTCTTGGTTATACCCCGGAGGGCAGTCACCTACGTTAGGCCAGCGACTATGCTTTGAGATAAAGTCTAGGGCTATTGTCACACTTGGCATCAAACAGAAGAGCAGTCAAAGCCCTGGCCTGCGACCCAGACTTGGGAACACGGAAGTGGTGAGTTCTGGGTTTTGCCCTATCAGCATGGTGTTCAGTCTTGCTGATGGTGTCAAGCCCAGCCCCGGGGAAAAAGGAAGTCACACTCCCCGCAGAAGCATTGCCAGGGTATCTGTGGACGTCGGTGTCTGGAGTGGAACAAGCCCATGTCTTTCTCCAGTGACAAAAGAGGACGCTGAGCACCAACCGACGGCCGCGATCGTGAATGCCGACTTACGGAGCACGGCTTGTGCGAGAGCCACGTCCCTACTCGCGTTCACAGATCTCATCACAGAGCAGCTACCAAAGCGAGTTCCTTATCTTGACTTTGCTAAGGAAACAACACTTTTACCGGAGTCTTTTCTTTGGGGCTGTGAAATGAAATAGTAAAGTGTCAAAACCCTGTTCATATGGCGAAGTCTTTGGTCAAGGTTGAAGATTCACTTTACAGTTTAGGAGGCAGTAGGTCAGTGGTTCTCAACCTTCCTCATGCTGCGACCCTTTAATACAGTTCCTCATGTTGTGGTGACCCCCCCCAACCATAAAATCATTTTCGTTGCTACTTCATCACTGTCATTTTGCTATTGTTATGAATCATCATGTAAATATCTGATATGCAGGATATATTTTC